CTTCTCTTTTCTCACTTGAGGTTTTTAGGCATATTACAATAATCTCCACCTTAACTTGAAACTGATGACGATGTCAATTTAACCACAACCACTTTGCTGCTCTCTACCATATTAAAACACTATTCAACAACCTTAATAAAGTTCAAGCCACCTTTGAACCTTGATTTTGTCATTTGCATCCACTTATTTTCAATCACCTTTTTTTTCTCTTCTGTTTGGGTAATCTACCAAGCCCACAAGCATGGTTTTTCAACCATCATTGACTCCGCCTACTTTTGAATTCCTCCCTGAAGGTCCCTATTTCTAAATTTTGTAACCTTTCAGTCACATTCAAAATATAATAGCCAAGACTAGCATAATTATCCCTTTGAGATGCTAAAATCGCCTTCTTTACCTTATCACAAGTCAAATGATAATTAGAAGCCTCTATAATCGTTTCCTCACTACTTCTAGTATCTATAGTAGGAAACTCCACCTCAAACTGAGTTTTCTCTGTAATAGTTTGTAAAAGTTCCATCCATCTATTTTTACTCTTCTTTATCTGAAAGAACTCTCTACCAACCTTACCCCAGAAACTCAATGACAACTCAATGGTCTCATGTATCTTTACCCCTTGTCTTCTGCAAAATTTATTAAACTGTTCTGAAATAACATTCAGGCAATCATTATGCATAAACCTCAAATCTCATAAGTTTTCTTATTATAAAAATATTCACTAGTTAATGGTGAATGAACAACAACATTTGAACCTTTTAAAATATATTTACCATATATTTTTGACCCTTTAACAATGATCACTTCATCATTCGAAATCTTCAACATTCAACATTTAGCTCTAGTGCAATAGCTTAGATCATCAAACATTTCTAATAGATAATAAATTTCACTTCAGTTCTAAAACATAATTTACATTGTGAAAAGGAAACTCATGATCATCAAACATTTTAAGCCCGACCGTACCAATACCATGAATATTGCAAGCCTTATTATCCTCAAGGTAAACTACTCCACCTTGGTCCAACTTCAAAGTCTCAAAGTATTCTATTCTCGAACACATGTGATATAAGAAACCTGAGTTTATGACTTAACTATCTTCAGCCTCCAAACTCGATACCACTACTGCATCAACACTCTCATAATCATCCTCATCTAAGGCAAACACAACTTGAACAGAATCATCAATGACCTTTCTCTCAGGAAAATCCTTATCGAAGTGTTTAGTTTTCTGACAATTATATTTCACCTTTGACTTGTCAAACTTCTTTAATTTGGACATCCCTCTAATCTCACTTCCTCCTTTTGAGAAACTCAAGCTTTCACCTCTATCATCAATCTTCAAGTCTTTCGCCTTTGAAAATTCTTTAGATTTAACCACTAAAAAAGAACATACTTAAAGTGTTAAAAAGATTTGCGTAATGAACTCAACAAGAGTAAAGCCTTGTCCTCATCATCATTCTTCACTTCAATATTCTCAAGATCATCAATAATCTTATAAATTCCTATCAACTGCTCAACTATGGATTTGTTCTCCACTATTCAAAATTAATAGAGTTGTTGTTTCAGACATGATCTATGAGGCAAAGACTTGGTCATATACAATAATTTAAGTTTTGTCCATATCGAAGCAGCAATCTGCTCCCCAGCGACTTCTCTTAAAACTTTATCCCTGAGACACAAGATAATGACACTCCTGACCTTATCCATAATCTTACTCTTCTCTTCTTTTGTTGGGCATGCATCGATGTCTCACCCTTCAAAGCTTCAATACACTTTTTTTAGTTAAAATTGCTTGCATCTTCACTTTTCACAATCAAAAACTGTTGTCTCCAGAAAATTTTGCGATCTCCCATTTATTCATGGTTCTCACTTGTAAGCAATACCTCTTTTCCCCACCATGGATGCCACTTGTTGTGAAAATGATAAGGTTTAATTCACATCAAGAAATTTGATGTGTGAGCGACAAAGAACAGTAGCAACCAATATAAATGACATTTAACAATAATAACCAATAAGACAATTAATTTTGCATAATAAGATAAAATAGGGCGAGAAACACAAAATATTTGTTTACCCAATTCGATCAAATGATCTACGTCTGATGGAGAGAGCAACTCTCCAATTCATTATACTCCAAAAGTTGTTATAAGATATTACAAATGAGTTATAAGAAAATAGCCTTCCAAGTTCCCAAGAACAAATCATATTTTCTACCAAAGAGTTTTCTAATCTCTCCAACTCTCAATATAAGAATCACATAAACCAATATAAGAATCACACAAATCCAAAATATTTAGAAATATTTCTCAATTCCCTTAAATAACTCTAAAAAATTTCCAAAAACCTTTATCTTTCTAAGTTTTCCATTAGAATTTCTTAATTATATCTCCATTTTCTCTAAAACTCTAAAACGGTTACCCTTATAATAACAAAAAAAATATACGTGGTAAAACCCAACAAACAAAACCCAAAACATAACCATTAACAAATAGATAATGGATATGTGAACAAGCCCAGAAATATATTAGTACTAAAATATATCATTTTTTTCTTCTTTTTTTACTTAAAGTTTTAAAAGATATTATAACACCATAAAATCTTAACTTACTTATTTTAACTAAGTAACCCACTAATTCTAACCAACTAACTCTAACCATTACTACCAAATATTTTATTATATGAAGGAGAAAAAAGAGAGTATAAATTGATGGTAGTTATATTTTTTATTTCTTGTGAGAAAGTGAATGATTAAGACATGAAAATGAGTGAAGATTTTGTAAAAAGGTAAATTGAGATCGTGGTTGGAGTGGTTGGAGTGCTTTTAGCCTTTACAGAAGAATAAAGTTGAGAATCTTACAAATGAGCAATATCTTGACCAGATTGTTTTTCATTGCTCTTTTTCAATTTTGTTTCTTGCTGTTCATGTAAAGTTGATAAAGAACTGTATACAATAAGAATCCACTAAACAAATAAAGGAGGTTGGTGGGTAATTGGTACTCTAAAACATTGTACTACTTATAGATGTATGTTTTTTTACTAATTATAGTTATATGTTAAAACATTTGATTTAAATAAGAAATAAATATTTTAATTTAATTTTCCAAAAGAAAGCTTGGAAACGCCTCAAACAAGTCTCATTAAAATTAGACAAAAGAATATGCTAATATATGGAGAGCACACACGAGCATGCGCCAGACACACGTTGACATGTGCAAAAAAAGTGACATAGAGTGATTGATATGTTTGAGTTCTCTCTAACATTAAAACATATAAACATTTTTTATTTTAAAATATCTCACGAATTAAAATTTTGAATTTTATTTCTAATATAGGAATGCTCAAGAATTCCATAAGCTGTCCCATATATACAATTATATAGGTTAGTCTATCAAAAGGACTCATGTAATTAGATATTCTATTTTCCATTAAATATATATTATTAAGAATTTATACTACAACATTCTTCTGTCGCTTCAAGAATCACATTTTATTTATTTATTATAGTATATTCATCTCATCTCACTTTACAATTTGGTTTTATCTATTGAACTAAATTTTTGAAATCTTAAGTCTTTTAGAATGGATTACCATTATTGATTGATTCACTTTTTAAAAGACAATAGCCAAATTTTATTTTGATGTTTTTAAGAACTTTCTTTCTATTTTATTCTATCATTAAAAGATCGGGTATATTTTTATTAATGAATACATGATCCATTTTAACAATTCTAATTTAAAATACTCTCTAATAATATTGTGTTTACAACATATTTATCGTCTCTTATTATTGTTCTGGTGTCTTTTGTCGATTTTTTTTTATGGTTTTTGGCTTTCTGCAACTTTGATTTGTGACAATCTCGAAATATATTTTTCTTCTCTTCATCACTTAAATTTTTAAGGCATACTTTTACAGTCACTTTGACTATTTCCATCTTTTGTGTAGACCGATTAATCAAGAATGGATTTAAAGATGATAGTTTAAAGGATTTAGAGCTTGAGAAATTCACTGAGAGGAAATAAATAGGTGAGCAAATCAAGTAAGAGAATTTGAATCTTTTAAAAGAGTGAATTTTCTTGGCAAAAGTATTCTCCGCTTCACGATTCACGAAGGTCTTAATGACGAATTAGAAAATACTTCCATGTAGAAACATCAATTCACTAGGCGTGACTCAATTTGCCTAGCAAATTATTGTTGCACTCAAAAATTTATCCTCTTATATTTAATCCTAGTTAGATTATGTCTTCGTTGTCATTCACATATACATAGCATTTGGTTCTTGTGATATGAGATCAAAGTTTCTTGTGGATTAGGGTTTTCTCCAATCAAAAAGTAGATTTGATGTTCAAGTCAATATAAGGTTGAGTTATCACCATCGTGAGTATTCTCGCAAGACACAAGGTCTTATCTCTATACAAGTTCCTCAAGATCATTAGGAGATCAAGTTTCATTGCTCGAAGATGGATCACATACTTCCATCCAATTGGTTCCCAAATAGGATTTTGGTCAAAGACAATATGAGGTTGACTTTCAGACAAACTTTGACTTTATTGTGCAAGACATGAATCGAGACATCCATTGATCAAGTTTTAACCCGAAGTCCATTGATCAAGTTTCCAGAGATTCTACACAGAAAAATGAGAAACTCAAGAAACTCTCTACCGATTCTCTACACGATTCACACAGAAAAAACCTCCAGAAAAACTGACCTATAAACTATTATCGAAGAATTCCTCTGTAGCTTTCACCATTTTCTTCAAGTTCTTCAATCATCATCAACAATTTTCTCGTCCTTCAACCATAACACTCCACTGTAACCTTCAACCATCATCTTCAATCGCTAACCTGCAATTTCACGGTTCTTCAACCTTCAAACATTGCAACACGCAAAGTTCAACCACAATACTGATACGCACGAAAGCAGAATCGTACAAAAGAAGAGGTAGAGAGAATAAGAGACTCACCTAAACTCATATCCTCACCACATTTTCTCGTCGAAGGTTGTTCATCGGCTTATACTTAGTAACAAACGATGCTGAGAAGTCGAAGAAGGAGGATCACATCGGAAGCGAATCAGATATAGAAGCAAGCTGAAGTTTGAATCGCATTGAAGCTGAGGTGTGGTTTGTCGTGAAAACCGCAAATAGAAGCGAGTTAAGGTCGAAGGCTGAGATCGAAGGTGTGAATCCGATGAGAACGAAGTTAAGCGAAGATAGATCTGCGACGGTGTTTCGAAAGAGACGGAGGCAGAAGCAGACGAAATCGTCATCATGGATCGGTGAAGCTTGCTTCACGGCGGTGATGAATTCGTCTGAAGGATATCGCCGATGAGAAGAGTTTGTTGAGGAAGAAGACTCTTATCCTTTGTTTATTTAATTACTTTTTTATTTTAATTAAATGATAATTGATTTGAAAATCTGATGAAGTGGATTAGAATTGGTGTGAGGGTGTTTGTGGTTTGGATTGAAGGATTCTATGGACCTTGGACCGAATTTCATTTACATGGGCCCGTTCCTTATTTCTAATAGGTGATGCTTGCACATAAAAAAATTGAATATGGATCCTCTTTGTTGGGCCTTTGAGCATTGTTGCTTAAACACACATCTTGTATGTTGGTTTTGCCTTTGAGCATTGTTGCTTAAACACACATCTTGTATGTTGGTTTTCTATTAATTTTTCTTTCCATTATTTTGATAACTAATTTATGATGATAAAAATGCATGAAAAACTATTATAAAGATTCTATTCTTTAGAAACCAATTAGAGTTTCTAGTGTTTATGTCATGATTAATTTTGATAATTTTTGCTACTTGTGCCATGATCATTTGGTAGATTTTAGTACCAATTCTGTGTGATATCATTGAAATTTTGTTGGAAAGTCTCAAGAATTTCTAGGCTAGCTAAGAGAACAATTTTCATCAAGGAAATTCAAGGAAGTATTCAGTAGAGTTTTCTTATTGCTAGTGTGGCTTTGAAGAGGAACAAACATTTTTCGTTAGGCATCACCTGAGTTCTCTTTACTTCCTCATTTTTTACATTGTTTTTAATTAATCTTGTCATGAGAAGTAGGATAGTGATGCATGACTGTAAGTCCTATCGTCGTAGGCTATGTTTCCTGTGTAGTTAGGCATTAATTTGTGATGATGTTAATGTTGTGATACATGTTCACTTTATTTTTTATTCAGGTTCATTATTTATTGTGATACATGTCCACTTTATTTTTGATTCAGGTTCATTATTTATTGTGATACATCTTCACTTTCTTTTTTATTCAGGTTCATTATTTGTTGTGATACATGTTCACTTTCTTTTTTATTCAGGTTCATTATTTGTTGTGATACATGTTCACTTTATTTTTGGTTCAGGTTCATTATTTATTGTGATACATGTTCATTTTCTTTTTGATTCAGGTTTATTATTTGTTATGATACATGTTCATTTTCTTTTTGATTCAGGTTCATTATTTGTTGTGATATATGTTCACTCTCTATTTGATTCATGTTCAATACTTGTTGTGATTCTTGTTCACTTTCTATTTTGATTCATGTTCAATACTTGCTAGATGCTTGTTTATTGCCTCAACCCATGTTCAATGTGATGCATGTTGACTTATTATCTTATGATACTTGTTCATATTGTGATGCATGTTCACTTCTCATCCTTGGGTACTTGTTCAATATAATTCATGTAAACTTCTTATCTTATGATACTTGTCCATGTTGTGATGCATGTTTACTTCTTATCTTAAGATACTTGTTCAATATGATGCATGTTCACTTCTTATCTTCTTTTGATTCATGTTCAAAGGTTGTGATGTCCCGATTCACTTTAACCTAATGCATATTTAGGTAACCATTATTGTGATGTCCTATTTCACTTTAGCCTAATGAATATTTGGTAACATTTGTTGTAATATCCTGATTCACCTTAACCTAATGCAAGTTTAGGTAACCATTATTGTGATGGCCTTATTCAATTTAGTCTAATGCATGTTAGGTAACCTTTGTTGTGATGTCCTAATTCACTTTAGCCTAATATATGTTTAGGTAATCTTTTTATGATGTCCTAATTCACTTTATCCTAATGCATATTTAGGTAATCTTTATTGTGATATCCTGATTCACTTTAAATTAATGCATGTTTAGGTAAACCTTGCTATAATGTCTTGATTCACCTTAGCTTAATGCATGTTTAGGTAAACCTTGTTGTGATTTCATGATTCACCTTAGCCTAATGCATGTTTAGGTAAACCTTGTTGTGATATCCTGATTCACCTTAGCCTAATGCATCGTTAGGTAAACCTTGTTTTGTTGTCCTGATTGACCTTATCCTAATGCATGTTTAGGTAAATTTTGTTGTGATATTCTGATTCACCTTAGCCTAATGCATATTTAGGTAAACCTTGTTGTAATATCCTGATTAACCTTAGCCTAATGCATGTTTAGGTAAACCTTGTTGTGATGTCCTGATTCACTTTAACATAATGCATGTTTAGGTAAAACTTGTTCTGATTTTCTGATTCACTTTAACCTAATGCATATTTAGGTAAAACTTGTTGTGATGTCCTAATTCATCTTAGCCTAATGCATGTTTAGGTAACCTTTATTGTGATGTCTTGATTCACCTTATCCTAATTCATATTTAGGTAAACTTTTTTGTGATATCTTGATTCACCTCATCCCATGGCATGATTAGGATAATTCATTTCTTTTGTATGCTCGTCATGATAACATATGCATCTAAGTTTGTTCAGATGTTTGGTTGATGCCTTATTTGCTTATCTTGATATTATTCTAATCTTAATGCATGTTTAGGATATCTTACTTCCCTTCCATGTTTGTCATGATAACTTGTACACGCCTATTGCTTGTTTAGGCCTCCTTTACGTTACTTGTACACTCTCCCTGTTTTTGTGATTGCTTGCCTATTGCTTGTTAAGGCGTCCTTGGTATTACTTATACATTCCCCTTGTTTGTGAGATGCCATGCTCCCATATGACTCTTGACTCAATTCAGGTTTGAATTAAGTAGACTCTAGGGTTGTAAACCAAGCATGATAGCAACTAGGTAGGATTACCTGTATCTTAACCTTAGGTCCACACTTGCATGACACAAGTAGGATTGAGATCCCTTTTCTTTGGTTTAGTTCTTGCATCACGTGTATGTAAAACTAAAACCTTTTTCTCAAGAAAACTCAAAAACACTTAATGAGTAAAGGTACGTGTAAAGCGGCACGAGACTTAAGTACACGAAGAGGACTTCGGGTCTGAGACATTTGGCTCGATCTTACAAGGGTCTTCATGTCATAGACTTTAGCATGATACGTGTCTCAAACACTTTCAAAGACTTAAAGGAGATGGACTAAAAGTACCCCCAGTGTGATACGGTGGCAGAACCGACTGTTTAATACTGGTTTTGCGTTTTTTGTTTGCAAATGTTGCGATAAGCAAGATTTTCCACCGAATTTTCTTTTATCCCACAAAAGAACGGGTGAAAAGAATAGAAAAGACATTTTTCGAGATTATTCTGAGTAAGGGGGGTAGATTATGGAAAAGGAAGGTGTTAGCACCCTTTCCATCCATGATTTTCCACGGGCTCTTAGGTACTTGCTCATTTTGAAAATTGTTTGTGTGTTTGTGTGTTTTGAAAGTTTCGGTTTTCTTTATGGTAACTCTTGTATCAGTCCTCAAGAGTGTGAGAAAGCATTTTTGAAAATAGTTTTTGAAAAGGGTGTAAGTGTGAAAATTTAAGATTTGAGCAAGTACTTAAGAACAGTCTACCTACTTGAAAAAGGATGTTCTTTTCATCCTTTCCTTTATATAGTGCTATCCTACTATTAGTGAGTAGGTAGCCCTATCGTCGAATGTTGAGGGACAATCGAAGGGACGTTTTACAATCATAAAGGAAATTTATGGATACGCTTTAGCAATTTTCTTTTAGGGACTAGATCATTTACCGAAAGGCAACTGTAGAGTCATCGAGGGACTATAATCTTTTTTGATTTATGGGTCTTTACTAAAGCGTTCCTGCCTCATGACTGTTTTATTTAAAGGCAACCAAAGTGGGAGATACCTTAGAGGTGCGCATGTGCAAGTGTGTTAAGATTCAGTTATTTTTTGTCTTTTTGTTAGGTTAGCTAACGTTTGATTGTTAGTCTTTCCATACACGCCTAGTTACTAACAGTAATATTGTACAGAAAATAAAGTGCAAAAATTTAAATCCTAGACTATTACAACACTTTGGGACAATTGCATAAAAAAGTGAAAGAAAATAAAATGCAGAATTTTAAATCTAGACTATTACATCCCATAATCAGTTACATTATTTATATAAAATGCGAGAATAAAAATAACGCGCGCGAAATAAATATTACGTCTAAAAATCCTAAGAAAAATTCTAAGTAAACAAGAAAAATATTTTTGGTTTTATTTTTATTTATTTCAAGAAAAATAATTAAACTAAATCTAAATTTAATTTAAGAAAATAAATATTGAATGAAATTAATCTAATTATAATATTTTTGCATTTTTTATTAAGGAAACATTTGAAACATAAATTAAATCCTAAATTCTAGTTCATTTTAAAAAAAGAAAGTAGTTAAAATTTAATTAATTAATTAATTAATTAAAGCATTTGATTATTTAATTTTTAAAAAAAAGTCTAAGCCTAATTTTTTGTGAGTTTTTTTTATTATTTGCTTAATTAAGTAAAGAAGATAAAAGGAATTAAAACATTACAAAAAAAACTAGATGAGCCTGAGATGGTAAAAAAAAGTGGGGGTGTGGTTGTTGAATTCGCTGGTCCATGAAGGAAGAGGCTTAGATTTGCTTCTGGATCCAATATGGATTGGTCTTGATGGCACATGGTGAGCCCACAGGTGGAGTGCGCTAGATCTGATTAGATGGACATCTGATGACACATGTTTGATGGTGTATAATACACATCTAGCTACGAGGAGCACAAGATCTGCATGAAATAAGTTAGAAAATATAAAAATTTATCTTACTGAGGAGTTTTGTGATGTTTCAGGGCTTGGTAATGATTGCAAAAGCTTCAGGGAGTGTTGCACCCCAAAATTTGCCCTCTCATTTCTCAAGGAATCACCCTGGATCCTCAAGTTTGCTTTTATCCAATTCCAAACCTTAAATTATCAATTTTTCTAAACAAACCATTCACAAGGGCAAAATGGTCATTTGCACACTGAGAAGTCTAACTTTAACTTTTGGATCAAAATCAAATCTCAAAAATCATATTTCATCAAGACATGTTGGAA